GGCTCCCCAGGTTAAGGCGACACAGGCCGAAGCATCGGACCCGCAGCAGCGCCGGCAAAGGCCGCTGCTCCAAGCGCGGCGTGGCAGCCATTGCAACCGGCTCCGGCACAGCCATTCCACAGACTTCGTGCTTCATCGGCCGTGCCTCCGCCACCTCGAGCTGCACCTTCCATCCCTGCAGCCCGTCGCCCTCGCTCATCATCACCTTTGAGTTTTGAAGAAAGGGGTAGTGACATAGGGTTTGGTTTAGCGGCCCCAGACGAGGGACCCAGAAAATACCGAGCCAAGGGCGGCGGCAGATCAGATCGATCCGCCACCTCCGCAGGGTCTTTTGCGTCCAGAATTTAAGGTGCTGCCGACGGCGCACTGCGTGCACAGCAGCCAGTGACCCCGCCAAAGACACCGCCCAAGGGCCCGCCTTCAACACCGGGCGTCCCTAAGAAAGCTCCTCCATCAGGTGCGGTCGTGCCTCCAAGGCCCAACGCCGTCGTCTACAAGCCCCTCCTCACGGAGCATTTGTGGCCATAATCGGCAAGGACCCCGCAGGCGGTCGGGTGCGCCCTCCACCAAGCAACCTGGTTCACCCGAACCATCGCACAAGAAGGGCAAGAGAAGACTGGGATCGAAACAACCCACAACCAGCGGGTGCTGCCTTTGGCGCACCGGGCCCTAGGCCTCCACCACCTCCTTTGTATAGGGCACCCCAGAGGCAAGTCGCCGATGGTTTGGGGTTCTAAGTAGGTGCTGGGACACCCGCCTTAGACGGTTCTCTAATAGGTTCCTGTTGGCCTTTAATAGGTTCCTGTTTGAGCTCCGCCCGATCGAGGTTGGCATTTGCTCTTACGCCGATACCAACCGAGAGAGGTATCTTCGCGACTGCCTGCGGCCGGCACGCGACCAGATCGTCAACCTTCAGGCGGCCCCAGCAGAATTGTGGCTGCTGCAGACGGCGCAGCGCACCGGGCCCGAGGGGAAGGCCTCGTTCCTTCACCAAGTGTCCACAAACTACTTTGTGGACGATAACCCCCTCATTTGCCGAGAGTGCAGACGCACTGGCTGTGTCGTTGTGAGGGCAGACCCGGCTGCTGGAGAA